CACCTGAATCTTCAGCTGAAATTGGGGCAGATGCTGCTACAGGAGCTGTGGAAAGGCTGATCTAAGCCTAGAAGAGGGTCATTTGACTGGCTTTAATTCCCCCCGTAGCAGATCTGCCCAGCATCCTCCAGATCTCTCTTCTTCACTATCCCACTCTACTAAAAAGATCCCTTTCCCGACTGGCCGGACAGATAATAGTCGGGCCTCTGTCCCACGCTCTAGGCTTCTTTATTCGCGGATGAGAAATTCTCCTCCAACTTGTGACTCTGCTTCTCCAGGGCCTGCACACCACCTACTTGTGGCTGCCCCGCCCCAAATCCCTCTCCCGCTAGGGCTGCCACTAGACCCTAGGGCCCCTGTCCTCCACCCCAGCTCCTTTTTTTCCTCTCCGCCTCGGACCTTCCTCCATTCCATATCCTCTTTTCAACCCGGGAGCCAGTCCCCGCTTCGCTCCTACTACAGGCTAGGGTCCCCGCAATCCTCCCCAACTCTGGCTTCCCCGCCCGACTACTCCAACCCCACAACAAACTTTCCGCCGCTGCCAGCTGCGTTCAGGCCGCCATCTTGCCGCGGGGCAGGCCGGGTAGCGGCCAAGGCTGCGGGAATCCCCACGTACTTGGCGTCGCGCGTCATCGGGGGCGGCGCCATGGGGGCGGGGCCTCGGGTTCAGGAACTGGGACACGAGATGACGGCGAAAAATGGGGCTCTCCTGAAAGAAGGGATTGGAGGCCCGGCCACCGGAGAAGGAAGGACGTGTCAGGAACAGAGCAATTGCAGGAAGTGGGAAAAGACTCTAGTACTGAAAGAAGAAAAAAAATAATAGAGGAACCCAGCTGAAAGATATGGTGGGAGAGAGAATCGTGCTCCTGGGTTTGGCATCCAGAAATCCGCAGGATCCACCTTCTCATTCCACAGCCTCATTTTTTTTTTTTTTTTAACCTCTCCCGGGGACTTTAGGTTTCCAAATTGTCCTTTGTTTTCAAGACATCAGGCCTTAAGATGTCTTAACTTCTTTCCTCCTCCCTTGCATCATCAATTCTTCCTACTCCTTCAAATCATCAACTCAAATGTTACCTCCTCCAGAAAGTCTTCCCTTCAGTGCTTTTTTTTTTTTTCTTTTTTTTTTTTTTGAGACGGAGTTTCGCTCTTGTTACCCAGGCTGGAGTGCAATGGCGCGATCTCGGCTCACCGCAACCTCCGCCTCCTGGGTTCAGGCAATTCTCCTGCCTCAGCCTCCTGAGTAGCTGGGATTATAGGCACGCGCCACCATGCCCAGCTAATTTTTAGTATTTTTAGTAGAGACGGGGTTTCACCATGTTGACCAGGTTGGTCTCGATCTCTCGACCTCGTGATCCACCTGCCCCGGCCTCCCAAAGTGCTGGGATTACAGGCTTGAGCCACCGCGCCCGGCCTTTTTTTCTTTTTTTACAGACAGAGTCTCGCTGTGTCGCCAGGCTGGAGTGCAGTGGCATGATCTCAGCTAACTGCAACCTCCAACTCCCGAGTTCAAGCAATTTTCCTGCCTCAGCCTCCCGAGTAGCTGGGACTACAGGCGTACACCACCACGCCCAGCTAATTTTTTGTATTTTTATTAGAGACAGGGTTTCGCCATGTTGGCCAGGCGGGTCTCGAACTCCTGACCTCGTGATCCTCCTGCCTCAGCCTCCCAAAGTGCTGGGATTACAGGTGTGAGCCACCGTGCCCAGCACGGTGCTCCTTTTGCTGGGCATCACTAGAAACTTGTACATAGCTTTATTGTAGCTGTCTCATGCAGTGTAATTATTTATTTACATGTTATATCATTTCTGCCCTGCTGCTTCTTCAGTGCAAAAACTATATCTGATTGCATCTTCATACTCCCTAGTAGGAGCTCGGCACACAATAAATGCCTCATGAATAAATGGCATGTTTTCCTCCAATGCACTAAACATATTTCTGCCTCAGGGTCTCTAAGTTTGCTGTTCCCCATACCTGGAATGTTCTTCCTTCAGATACTGACACTCATTTGTGTCTTTGCTCAAGTGTCATCACTTTGGAGAAGCCTTGCTTGGCCAATCTAAATCAGCATCCCTATTCTTCTTTACCCTGCTTTAATGTTTTCATTCATAGCACTTATCATTATCAGACATTATATTAAATATTTATTTGTTTATTGACCATCTCCCCACTACGAAGCAAACTCCAGAGGTCTGGGATGTTTTCTCACTCATCATAGCATCTCCAGTGTCTAAAACAATGCCTGGCATAGTAGGTATTCAATAAATTTTTTTTATTCTGCTTTTTTTTTTTTTTTTTTTTTTTTTTGAGACGGAGTTTCGCTCCTGTTACCCAGGCTGGAGTGCAATGGCGCGATCTCGGCTCACCGCAACCTCCGCCCTCTGGGTTCAGGCAATTCTCCTGCCTCAGCCTCCTGAGTAGCTGGGATTACAGGCACGTGCCACCATGCCCAGCTAATTTTTTGTATTTTTAGTAGAGACGGGGTTTCACCATGTTGACCAGGATGGTCTCGATCTCTTGACCTCGTGATCCACCCGCCTCGGCCTCCCAAAGTGCTGGGATTACAGGCTTGAGCCACCGTGCCCGGCCTATTCTGCTTTTTAAATTAATTAATTAATTTTTTTTGAGACAGAGTCTCACTCTATTGCCCAGGTTGGAATGCAGTGGTGTGATCTCAGCTCACTGCAACCTCTGCCTCCTGGGTTCAAGTGATTCACCTTCCTCGGCTTCCTGTGTAGCTGGGATTATAGACACGTGCCACTGTGCCCAGCAATTTTTTGTGTTTTTTTTTTTTTTTTTTGAGACAGAGTTTCACTCTTGTTACCCAGGCTGGAGTGCAATGGCGCAATCTCGGCTCACTGCAACCTCTGCCTCCTGGGTTCAGGCAATTCTCCTGCCTCAGCCTCCTAAGTAGCTGGGATTACAGGCACGTGCCACCATGCCCAGCTAATTTTTTGTATTTTTAGTAGAGACGGGGTTTCACCATGTTGACCAGGATGGTCTTGATCTCTTGACCTTGTGATCCACCCGTCTCGGCCTCCCAAAGTGCTGGGATTACAGGCTTGAGCCACCGCGCCCGGCCTAATTTTTTGTATTTTTAATAGAGACGTGGGTTTTACCATATTGGCTAGGCTGGTCTCGAACTCCTGACCTCAAGCCATCTGCCCACCTCAGCCTCCCAAAGTACTGGCATTACAGGCATGAGCCACTGCACCCTGCCAATAGAATGAATATATAATATGGAGGTGAGTGATTGACAGATTTTGGAATATAGTGGTGGAGAAGAAGTGTTGAAAATACTATAAAATGGCCGGGCGCGGTGGCTCAAGCTTGTAATCCCAGCACTTTGGGAGGCCAAGGCGGGCGGATCACGAGGTCGAGAGATCTAGACCATCCTGGTCAACATGGTGAAACCCCGTCTCTACTAAAAATACAAAAAATTAGCTGGGCATGGTGGTGCGTGCCTATAATCCCAGCTACTCAGGAGGCTGAGGCAGGAGAATTGCCTGAACCCAGGAGGCGGAGGTTGCAGTGAGCCGAGATCGCGCCATTGCACTCCAGCCTGGGTAACAAGAGCGAAACTCCGTCTCAAAAAAAAAAAAAGAAAAAAGAAAAAAAAGAGAAAATACTATAAAATAAGAAAATGCATAGATGGAAGTTAGATGACCTCAAGGCTTCACTTAGCCCTATCAGAAACAGTAGCAAAGACAGGCCCCAGACTCAGCAAAGGAGAAAGTGAGTTGAGAACCAGGTGGAATTCTGGAGCTGGGTCCTCAGGGAGCACAGCCATCCTAGGAAAGCCCCAGGGCACCGAGCAGGCCAGGTAGAGGAAATTAGGCAGGCTGGAGGCCAGGAGTCTCCTCAGACCTAAAGACAACATCTACCCCAGCCCAGGCCTCTCTTGGCCAGATGGTTCCGGAGAAGCATCTGTCCCTCCATAAATTATCCAGGGCTCCCTCCAGTCTATCCTCTCTGGTGACAGCCGGAACAATTGTCCAGGAATTCCATCTGCTCCACTGTCCCTCTCCCCTCCACAACTCATCAACATTTCAGAGCAGCAAGCTATCCCATTTCCCTGGGCCTAGGGATGGAGCTGGGTCTGCCCCTTGGTGAAGCTGTTATCAAGTACCCACCCCCCATCAAGGCACACACACAAAAACCTCAGCAGAGCTTCCCAGATCCCCAGAGGAAGAGGTCAGCCATCTTTATTTTTCATACCATCCATGCCTTTCTATCCCATACATCTTTTAAAAAATGAACTTATTAAAAGTACACTAAATTAATCATATAGCTTTTGATACAGCTTAAAATGAAGGCTTCCAATTGTTATACATCTCCACATGGTTCCTCTTAAATTACCCATACAGTACTTTCAAAATGTGACATTTGTTGTGATATGAAACTACACATTCGGATTTTTTGAAATGTGATTTTTGCTGTTTACCAAAAGGTATCTGTCTGAAGGAAAAAATGTAGGAAGCTGGTTTGGTTTTTTAAATAGGTATAATTCCCAGATATCACAACCTTTCCAGAAATTGTTCTGGGGTTCACAAAGGCTGTTATACTTTCGACCGTAGATTTGAAAAGCAATTCAAGTTTATATTTGGAAACAGAGGAAGTATCAATAAACATAAACATACCTTTGAAAAGAAAGGGAATCACAGTCCTCTAGAATTTTTAACTCTTATTATTATAGTTATTATTATTTGAGATGGAGTTTCACTCTTGTTGCCTAGGCTGGAGTGCAATGGCACAATCTTGGCTCATTGCAACCTCCCGCCTCCTGGGTTCAAGCAATCCTCCTGCCTCAGCCTCCCAAGTAGCTGGGACTATGGGTGCATGTCACCACGTCCGGCTAATTTTTATATTTTAGTAGAGACGAGTTTCACCATGTTGGTCAGGCTGGTGTCAAACTCCTGACCTCAGGTGATCTGCCTGTCTCAGCCTCCCAAAGTGCTGAGATCACAGGCATGAGCCACTGCACACAACTTCTTATTATTGTTTTTAATATAGAATGCTTCATGAATTCATGTGTCATCCTTGCACAGGGGCCATACTAATCTTCCCTGAATTATTCCAGTTTCAGTATATGTGCTGCCAAAGTAAGCACAAGTTTTCAGCTTGTAACATATGAAAGAGAAAGTTATTTTTATTGTAGGGAGGCTGGTTTACTTCATCATTCCCCCCTCTGCGGATGGACAAACTCACTTGTATACCTAAATATTCATTAGGCCACAATTACATAATTATTCACTGTCACTATGAGAGAATCTTGAGGAACGTGGTAAAAATGAGGGGTCCCTTCTAGCTTTCAGGGTCTTACGAAGTAGCTGCAATTTCCAGAAGAGTCAGGCTCACTTCATTTTGATGACAATTTTCATATGATTGATGTCCATAGGGCTGCAAGTATGCGGGGCCCACCTGCACGAGTATGGTCAAGCATTTCTCAAGGCATAATCCACCTAGGTTCAAGGCAGTCCCTTCTGATGATTTCTTTTATATGGACTAGTCACCCTGCTGGGACAGATGTGCTGGGTGTGGAGTCCAGGGTTGGCATGACACACTCTACATAGGCAGAAAGGGATCTTGGAAAAAGGTAGCAATTTGAGGTTCAGGTATTGGAGGAAATTGCTGGGAAAGAAGAGTTGAAACGGTACTGGGCTCAGCCCCACAGTCCTTTAACCTGTTCATTATGACAGCTAGAAGGGCCTTAGGCCATATGCAGTCTTTTTGGTTGCAAGTGACATCATCTACTAATAGTGTGAAGCCATGAGGCTAACTATATTCCTAGTTGTGATTCTGATTTTGTGATGCTGAACCATGTATACATGGTTGTTTTTTTTTTTTTTTTTTTGAGACGGAGTTTCGCTCTTGTTACCCAGGCTGGAGTGCAATGGCGCGATCTCAGCTCACCGCAACCTCCGCCTCCTGGGTTCAGGCAATTCTCCTGCCTCAGCCTCCTGAGTAGCTGGGATTACAGGCACGTACCACCATGCACAGCTAATTTTTTTGTACTTTTGGTAGAGACGGGGTTTCACCATGTTGACCAGGATGGTCTCGATCTCTTGACCTCGTGATCCACCCGCCTCGGCCTCCCAAAGTGCTGGGATTACAGGCTTGAGCCACCGGGCCTGGTGGATAAGCTTTTATTAGATGTAATGACTTTTTCCTAACTTGAGATGTTGAATTTTATGAAAATTAAGAAATGTAATTTTAAAGACCTTGAAACTCGGTGGGAACTTGCATTCTTCATGTTGTTATTATTATTATTATTATTATTATTATTATTATTATTATTATTTTGAGACAGAGTTTCGCTCGTTACCCAGGCTGGAGTGTAATGGCGCGATCTCGGCTCACCACAACCTCCGCCTCCTGGGTTCAGGCAATTCTCCTTCCTCAACCTCCTGAGTAGCTGGGATTACAGGCACGCGCCACCATGCCCAGCTAATTTTTTTTTGTATTTTTAATAGAGACGGGTTTCACCAAAGTGCTGGGATTACAGCCTTGAGCCACCGCTCCCGGCCTTTCATATTATTAAAACCGTTTATCTCTCAAAGGATACTTAATGAAAGCAGAACTCAAATACACCTGTGTTCATAGCAGCATTATTTTACAATAGCCAAAAGGTAAAAGCAACACAAAAGTTCATCGTTAGATTAATGGATAAACAAAATGTAGCAAAGACATACAATGAAATATTACTCAGCCTTGAAAAGGAAGGAATTCTGACACAGGCTACAGCATGGATGGACCTTGAGGTTACCATACAAAGTGAAATAAGCCAGTCACAGAAAGATAAATAACTGAATGGTTCTACTTATTTTAGCTACCTCGAGCAGTAAAATTCATAGAGATAGGAAATAGAATGGTTGTTGCCAGGGGCTATAGAAAATTAGGAGTTAGTGTTGTGTTCTTATTTTGTTATTTTAAATTTATTTAAGAGGCAGGGTCTTGCTCTCTTGCCCAGGCTGGAATGCAGTGGCATAATCATAGCTCACTGCAGCCTCAAACTCCCGGGCTCAAGCGATCCTCTAGCCTTCACCTCCCAAATAGCTGAGACTCTAGGCATGCCTGCCTAATTTTTTAATTTTTTTGAAGGCAGCTATGTTCACCGCTATACCACCAATGCTTTTTAAATTTTTGTAGAAATGGAGTCACACTTCGTTGTCCAGGCTGGTCTTGAACTCCTGGACGTAATCGATCCGCCCTCCTCGGCCTCCCAAAATGCTGGGATTATAAGCATAAACCACCACGCCCAGCCATCCATACATCTTTATATGAAACCAAGCCTTGTTTTCTGACTTCTGGTGAGCTCTCACTTTCCCAGCTGTAAAGCAGGAACTCCCTGAGAGCAAAGCTTGTTTCCCCCACCTCAGAATTTGGGCACCCTGCAGTTAATGCCTGTGTCCCCGCTCTCAGACTGTGATTTGAATACTGGGAACACTCAGAAAGTGCAGGACTAGTTTACCCCTCTTTTCTGGATGGCACTGGGACCTGTTTGTCAGACTTCTGCTTCACTCTGACCCAGTCGGGGCTGGGTAGTTCTTCAATCCCTCATCTCTTTGCTGAATCAGGAAGTCCTCCCTCCATCCCAGATCAGGACCTGAAAGTTGGCCTTGAAAGTGTAACTGGGCAGTTTAACTTCAAAATGCATTTTCAAACCTTTCTTTTCCTTTCTCTCGAGTCTCAAAATGTAACCTCGAAGCTTACTGTGGAAACCTTTTTTTCCCCTTCTTCTTATTCTTAAAATATAGCCTTGAAATGTACTTTCTTTTTCTGTTTTGTTTTGTTTTGTTTTGTTTGTTTTGAGACAGAGTCTTGCTGTGTCGCCTAGGCTGGAATACAGTGGCACGATCTCAACTCACTGCAACCTCTGTCTCCTGGATTCAAGCGATTCTTCTGCCTCAGCCTCCTGAATAGCTGGGATTACTGGCCTGCACCACTACACCCGGCTAATTTTTGTATTTTTAGGAGAGACAAGGTTTCACCATGTTGGCATGGTACCTGACCCAGAAACTTCAAGTAAACCTCCAGGGATGACTCCTTTAGCAGCTACTGGAAGGGCTGGACCATGACCCATCCAGGCGCTACTCTTGACAGACAGAGCAAGCCTGAAGATCCAGCAGCAAAACTCTGGAGAGTACCTCTAGGTGGCCAATCAACAAGCTGGGCAGTGTTAAGATGAAGCCAGCCCATGCTCTCGGTGTACTGGGACCCAAGAGAGCCACTGGAACAAGATACACAGACATTGTACTCAGCACAAATTGTGCATGCCTTCCATATCAAGTTTTCTCTTTTTAAGTCGCTGCCTTCAACACCAAAATCAAAGTGCTTTCTTTGGATAGGAATCCAGCCACTTCCCCATTACTATTTTTGGTTAATAAAATCACTTTATTTCTACCAGACCTCATTCTTTTTTTTTTTTTTTTTTTTTTTTTTGAGACAGAGTTTTGCTCTTGTTACCCAGGCTGGACTGCAGTGGCATGATCGCAGCTCACTTCAACCTCTGCCTCTTGGGTTCAAGTGATTCTCCTGCCTCAGCCTCCTGAGTAGCTGGGAGTACAGGCACCCGCCACCATGTCCGGCTAATTTTGTGTTTTTAGTAGAGACAGGGTTTCTCCATGTTGGCCAGGCTGGTCTCGAACTCCTGACCTCAGGTGATCCGCCCGCCTCAGCTTCCCACAGTGCTGGGATTACAGCCGTCAGCCATGGCACTAGGCCTGCTTGATATTTTGGATATTTTGGATTTTTTTTTTTTTTTTTTTTTTGAGATGGAGTTTCGCTCTTGTTACTCAGGCTGGAGTGCAATGGCGCAATCTCGGCTCACCGCAACCTCCGCCTCCTGAGTTCAGGCAATTCTCCTGCCTCAGCCTCCTGAGTAGCTGGGATTATAGGCACGCGCCACCATGCCCAGCTAATTTTTTGTATTTTTAGTAGAGACGGGGTTTCACCGTGTTGACCAGGATGGTCTCGATCTCTTGACCTCGTGATCCACCCGCCTCAGCCTCCCAAAGTGCTGGGATTACAGGCTTGAGCCACCGCGCCCGGCGGATTTTTTTTTTTTTAATGTAAGTTCTTACCACAAAATATTCATTTTATTTAAACTTTGATAGCCGAAATTTTTTATGACCAACATTTGAAGCTGTAATGAGACAAATAAAAACACAAGATGTTAAAAATTAAACTTGTAGGTGGCCTAATTTTAAAAGTGATCATTCCCTTCTATAACATTTCCAATACCAATTTTAGATTTGTATGGATAGTGTGAAATACACTGGCTGAACACATGCCTTGATGATTAATGTATTCCTGTAAAATGGACTCTTGGTACTGGGTGAATCTATGTCTAATCACGTGTACATGTGACAAGGCTGCTGGCTGACTGCATCAGTGGAACCCAGGTACAGCTGCAATCTTTTATTTTAGGTATAGAAGTCAGACGGAAATATAAAATAATGGAAAGTTTTTGCTGATTTAAACAAAAATATTTACTCTTTTCATTAGCAAAACATTATTTAAAATATATCTATTTCTCCCCTCTGAACATTTAACTAGGAGCATTGGGCAATTTTTGAAGGTTTAGTGCTGACTGTTTAATACAATAAATATAGCTGGGAGAGCACACAGCAGCAGTAGCTTACATACGTTCACTGATAAGAAATTTACTCTCTGGCCGGGCGCGGTGGCTCAAGCCTGTAATCCCAGCACTTTGGGAGGCCGAGGCAGGTGGATCACGAGGTCAAGAGATCGAGACCATCCTGGTCAACATGGTGAAACCCCGTCTCTACTAAAAATACAAAAAATTAGCTGGGCATGGTGGTGCGTGCCTGTAATCCCAGCTACTCAGGAGGCTGAGGCAGGAGAATTGCCTGAACCCAGGAGGCGGAGGTTGCGGTGAGCCGAGAGCGCGCCATTGCACTCCAGCCTGGGTAACAAGAGCGAAACTCCGTCTCAAAAAAAAAAAAAAAAAAGAGAAATTTACTCTCATCTGGTTAGCGTCTAGTCCACCAAAGGAAAGGCTTGGCATTCGTGTGCTTTTTGTTCTTGGTAGGAATCAATCCTGCTTGATTTTCATTCTTGGAAGAAAAAATACTCAGCTGATATCCT